CATGGTCTCGCTAAGTCCCTAGGGCAGGCCTCCAAATTGCAACCCTCCTGCTTCAGCCTCCTGAGTTTCTGAGATTAAAGGTGTGCACCTCCAAGTCCAGTTAATGTGCAATTATTTCTTTATTGGAGAAGCCAAGGTGGAGGATGAAGCACTATAGTGACAATTGAACAAAATATTGTGTTCACTTTACAAATGTGCATGTATCAAAATATTTAGATATAAAGAAATATTAAGCAACAAGTTCAAAATATCCCAGAAATGATTAGAATAGATGTAATTCGGTCCTACTGATAGGATTAGGAGTGCTATCATGTGGCCTTGAAAGGTGACCTCATCAAACTGCCAAAAAGGAACTCTATGTAGCTAGGGCGATAGTTTCTCTTTAAAGTGGTCTAGATTGTTAGTGAACAAATTCCTCTGAAGGCCATCAACTTTCCTTAATTTAATTTGTAATAATAAAATGTAAAATAAACAATTTTTAGATGTAAATAAGAAAATTATAGACATAATGGTGATATAAATTAGGTTATTAAAAAGTGAAAATCCAACTCTCTTATGTTTCCTTTTTTAATATTTCTGGGAAAGAATGATGCACCTATTAGATATCGCTGAAAATACTAAAAATTGGTTTTTAATGGATAGAAACAAATTCCATATATTTCCCAAGTACACAATTTACAAGTTATATTATTTAGATATGACAGAAATACTTAGCAATAGACTCCAAAGTCATGCATAAAATATCAGAATTTCAAATTCAAAATAGTATTTCAGAGAAAAAAGATTACAATGAGTTGAACATTGAAATGTTCTGGAAATTACTGAGTTGATCCAAGTAAGAAATACCACACACAAGTATGAAATAAAGTAAACTGAAAGTGAATAAAGAGAAGGGAGCTTACATACCATCTCTGTTTCTTTTTCCTGTTAATTGATAGAATAATTGTGTATATGTGCAGAGTACCACCTGATATTTCCACACCTCTGTTCATTGAGTAAATCTACTTCCTCAGTGATACCTTGTAGTTGTGTGAGAACATCCAAAGCCCCTATTCTATCTATTTTGAAATGTACAAATCATTACTGGTATGGAGATGTGGGTGGAACCAGAAGGCATCTGTTTAGGTAAAATAATCTGTGCAAAAACATGGCAAGAAACTCTGTCATATTAAAGAAAGACTCAGCCCTCTACCAACACTGCCAGGGAGCTGGTTCCATGAAGGGCCAGGAGGTCAGTCCACACATGGTCTCTGTCACTCTTGCCAATAGCAAGTCAAAATGGAATTGGCCGCCTTAGGGTGAAACTGTTCTTGCACAGAGAGGTTGGCATTGCACTTTCTAGTTCCTGCTATAAAAAGCAAACAGTCTACAAAATAAAAATTGAATGGCCAGAACCTCAAACATTCCTAATCCACACATCAGAGATACTAAATAGTGTAGACCCCCAAGGTTTGGCACTCTTCAAGATATGGCTGCAAGTGCACACGCACGCGTGTGTGTGCATACATACACACGTTTAAATTGAACTGTTTCCAATTCATTAACAAATAGATATGTTATTGATCATCACATGTGACCTCACAACTATGAGCTTTAACTCACAAACCTTCTACATCCTTGTCAACATTTGTTATACTTTTATTTCTTTGGTCTGGTTATCATTGGCATTCCTTGAAAACTAGTGATATCCAGTACTTTTTTCAAGTGTTTGTTGTACATATTTATTTTTTCTTAGGAGAAGTGCCTGTTCATTTGCCCATGTTTTAGTGAACTAAATAAATGCTGTCCCAGGGCATTTTACCTCTGAGCAACATCCCCAGATCTTTTTTTTTTTTTTTTTTTTTTTTTGAGGTAGGGGCTCTCTATGTTGCTTAGGGACTCACCATATTGCAGAGGCTGGATTTCAACTTGTGATGTTTCTGCCTGGGGCTCTGAAGTCTCTGGGATTATAGGCTTGCCCTTGGGCACCTAGCCAGAGTGTTAAGGAAATTCTTAAGAAAATGAGTTTTTCTGTTTCTGCCTCAATGTCCTGCTCCTTAGTTGTTTTTTTTTTATTCATTGAATAGCTACCAGTGTCTTTCATTATATATTATTTTTGAGGCTCTTGATGCTTTAGTTGTCAGGGCGATTGGGGGTTGTGATAGTTTGGACAACAAGGGTGTCCCAGCCCCTGGATAGGATGTGACCTGACATTGAATGACTAGATTTTCCAAATTACATCTGAAAGGAAAGTGACCACAACACTTGGAGTGACCAAGAAATCTTTATTGCAGCAGTGAAACAGAGGAGAAAAGGGAGAGAGAGAGAGAGAGAGAGAGAGAGAGAGAGAGAGAGAGAGAGAGAGAGAGAGAGAGAGAAGAGAGCATGCATGCAAGGGAGACAGAGAGAGCAAGAGAGAGAGCAAGAGAGAGAGCAAGAGAGAGAGAGGCCCGGCAGGAGGGAGTTTTTATAGCCCAAATCTCATGGTGTCTCTGGGTTTGCAAGCTGCCTTGTTGGCACACAAGGGGGTTAAGTGTTTGGGCTTGAGCGGCGGGCTACATGTTCAGCCTTGAGCAGGGGGGCAAAGCGCTCAGCCTTGACCAGGGGCTTGGGCATTTGGGCTTGAAGTAAACAGTTGATAAAGAATCAGATGGAGGGTTAGAGAAGCCAGGTGATCCTGCAGCTAACTTTGTTTGGCATGTCCTGCAGACAGCTTACTCAGCCTGTCCTGCACCTAACAACATCCAAAGGTGGAATTAAAGCCTAAGAAGGTACTGACACACATGGCTTCATCTTCAAGGTGCTCTCCTGTCTGATGAGGATGCCTGTGGCTCTCACTCACCATCATTGTCCTCACTCTGCTCTCTCGTTCAGGACTATGGATTGGAAATGAGGTCTTCCTCAAAATCTCATATTAGAAATCTAGAAATGTTCCAAAATTTTGGAGGTGAGATGATTACCTTAGGAGAGATGGATGTGACCTGATCAGTAAATTGATTGACCAATAATTTGAAATATAAGATTTAAAATATAAATCTACTACTACTTCTACTGGAGGGAAACTTGGAAGTTGGGCCAGAGGTTGAGGAAATAGTCCCCTAATGCCCTTGGGGAATAAGCACCTCATACCTGGCTCCACACTCTCTCTGCTCCTGGTTGTCATTAGAGAGTATCTTTTCTCTCTCATGCCCTTGTGCCAGGATGTTCTGCCTCACCTCAGGCCTAAAGCATTGCAGTCAGGTGGCCACAGATTGAAACTCTAAAACTGAGTCCAAAACAAAATACTTGTTCCATAAGTTGTTCTTGTCATATATTTTGTTCACAGCCACAAAAACTGGCAATGAGGGGGGTAGTTTGCTCATACAATTACAGACACCGTGAGCTAATCAAAGGGAAGGCACCTGAGAGAACCTGAAAAGCTGAGTGGTGTAACAGGAATCTATTATTTGTGATAGGAGGATTGCAGACAGAACCAAACTCTGAACAGGCCTCCTTCAGGCACAGAAGAAGCAACTGTGGGCCTGGGATTCAGTGCAGTGGTATAGTGCTTGTCTAGCCAGCCCAAAGAATCAAACACTGCAACAAACACAAACACACCCAAATCTGCAAACTCTCACAAAATATAAGGAGATATATGACAGCAAACAAAAACCATGGTGTCAAAATTCAGGTCCACAGCACCACAACCCTGAGGAACTGCATCCTCCTGAAAGACTGAGAGTGAGGGGATCAACCGGCCCCACTGAGATCATGATGCAGCCAGCACCTACATGAGGTCCTGTGACAGGCTTCCAGAGGATCCAACCTGCTCTGACTTGGACTTCTGACCTATGAGTCTATGACTTAATGAATCTTATTGGTGTTGCCGTTAAGTTTGTGGCAATGTGCTGCACATAATTAGAAACAAACCAGAGATAATTTCCCCTTTTCCCTCTAACAGCTCACAACATAAATTGAACATCCAAACAAGATTTAAATGATTTACATGAAAAAGATGGAGAACAGGCTGAGAAAGAGAATCATGTGAAACAAATTCCGTCTGTAGCTTCTAAAGCCAGTTGATTTTGAGGCTGGTGAAAACCAGGAAAAAGGAAAAAAAAACTACCAAATATATCTCTTTGGTGACGTAATAAAGACTTTCTACATATTACACAAATTCCAGCACAAATGAAAATAGGTTTTCTTGTTCAAAGAACATGGGGAAATTATCATTCAAACCAAACTTTTTGTTTCATTATGTCTCACACATTAAAATTGTGTTTTTCTGTTTGTAATTATTGTTGATCTGAGTAACAAGAGTACAACTGTAACTTATTAATGGAAATTCAATCATTCACCTTGTTTCACCCTTGCAAATACCAGATTAAAGGGAGAGATGAGAGAACATTAAACTTGAATGTGAAATCCTTGAAAATGCAATTTAAAAAAAAATTGTTTCATTCTGAAAATTTCCCCAATGGACACAAAGGAAGCAATGTAAATGAAGATCAAGAAGTTCCTGAGGAATACAAGGGGGTGGGGTTGGTTCTGAACATACATGGGATTGAGGAAACCCTGTCTAGGATAGTGTCAATATGACTTTCCTGTCAAACACTCTGGTTGGTTGAAAGCTGAGAGTTGGGGATGGGGATGTGGCTCAAGCAGTAGCATGATCGCCTGGCATGCGTGTGGCACAGGTTCGATCCTCAGCACCACATACAAACCAAGATGTTGTGTCCACTGAAAACTAAAAAATAAAATTCTCTCTCTCTCTCTCTCTCTCTTAAAAAAAGAAAGCTGAGGGTTCAAAATTGTAGGCTACTACATTATTTCCTTGACAGTTCCTAAAATAAGCTAATTCCATTTAAGAAAGATCACATATTATGACTTTTTAAATCAAACATAATTCATATGGCTTATTTTATAGAAACTTGTGTATGCCAAGAGAGGATTCAAATTACTTCAAATTTTTTCATACTGATTAAAGGGTGTTCTTCAGTTATGGGGTGCTCAGATTTAGATTTCACAAGTACAATTGAAGGTTTCTTCACATTTTTTTCATGATTTTATTGAAGTAGTTGAAGAACAATAAAATGCATATATTGGAAGCATGCAATTTGATCAGTTTTGACATGTATGTAACTAATTCAATCTTATATTTTAAATTTTAAGCATTTCCATTGCCTTTTAAAACATTTAAAATCATGCAGACTGTGTTTAATGCATGACTGATTATATTAGATATCAATCACCTTAAGATCTATAGAACCCCATCACCACAAACCAGGTCCTTCAACATGAAATGGCACACCTACACGTACTTCACAGGTCAAGGAAGAAGGCACACAAGAAGCAAATAAACAGTGCTTTGAACAAAGTGATAAAGAAGGCTTCATATATCAAATCTCTGGGACAAAGAGCATTCAGAAGAACATTTATAACTTAAAGTATTATATCAGAAAGAAGGTAGGTTAACAATCAGATAATTTTCAAATTTGGTAGTATGAAAAAATATGAGTAGGAGAAAAAATATGTGAACTATAAGAAAAAAATTTAGTCATTATATCTTGTAATATCAGGTTAGAATATATGCTACAAGAACTGAAGTTTGTCTCCAGCATGGGTTCCTACATGCAGAACATTGGCAGGACATACATCTCAAACAGCTGACATTCCTATGATTGATTTTCTCATGCAGTCTAAGGTAGTAAGATTGACTGAAGCCTTTCCCACATAGATGTCACTCATGAGGTTTCTCTTCATTGAGATGGCTCATGTTTTCTAAGGTTAGAGTCTTAAAGAGAGGCCTTTCCACACAGGTGACATTCCAGTGGCTATTCTCCAAGGCAAGTCATGTTTCATTTTTCAATACTAGGGTTATGGCCAAGGAGTATGCCACACAGTGGCATGCATGTTATTTTTCTCTGGTGTGTGTTCTCTCATGAACTCTGAGGCCAGATGATTGACTGAAGGCTTTCCCACGCACAGGGCATTTGTATGGTTTCTCTCCAGTATGTGTTTTCTCATGTTGTCTCAGGCCAGAGCATGTATTGAAAGCCTTTCCACATAGGTGACATTTGTATTGTTTGTCTCCAATATGTGTTTTCTCATGGTGTCTAAGGCTAGATGATAGACTGAAGGCTTTCCCACATACATGGCATTCATATGGTTTCTCACCAGTGTGGATTCTCTGATGTGGTTTAAGGTAACCAGATTGACTGAAGGATTTCCCACACAGGTGGCATTGATAGGGTTTCTCTCCAGTGTTTGTTCTCTGATGAAGTTTAAGGTAGCATGTTTGACCAAAGGATTTCTCACATAATTGACACTGGTATGGTTTTTCTCCTGTGTGGATTGTCTGATGATGACTAAGGTGAACTGATTTGCTGAAGGCTTTCCCACCCACATGGCATTTGTATGGTTTCTCTCCTGTGTGGATTTTATCATGCATTTGAAGGCTGTATAATTTACAAAAAGCTTTCCCACATGGATGGCATCTGTATGGTTTCTCTCCAGCATGGACTTTCTTATGCATTTTAAGGTTGTAAGTCTTCCTGAAGGCTTTCCCACACATGTGGCATTCATTTTGTTTCTCACCGGTTTGGGTTCTCTCATGTTGTCTAAGCTGAGAGCAGTAATTGAAGACTTTCTCAGAAAAACCACATTCATGCTTCTTTTCCCCTGTTCTAGTTTCATTGAGTCTGCTTAGATCAGAAGTTTGATTAAAGGATTTGCTGCATAGACGACATTCATATTGTATCTCTCCAGGGTCGTTCTTGTTGCATTTTCTAGGTCATAAACAATTCCTATGTCCTTTCAAACATTCTTGCCCTTCACATGAGACACGATCATTTTTCTTGTTTTCACCAAGATACAAATTGTTAGCAAGGGATCATGCACAGTGTTTGTTGTCCCAGGGGTTCCTTGCTTTTCTCCATTCCAAGGAATCCTCTTTAACATGAGATTTCTCTTTTGTAAAAAAGATGAACATTTCTTAATGATGTCTCCATGTAAACTTAACATTTATACATAAGAATCTTAATTTTTCTACACAAGAATATTAGAACAATCCATTGTAATATGAAAATGAAAATCTTTTTACTTTTAATTTCATGAACATTGTAGATAATTCCCAGGTGAGCCAAGTATTTTCCATTTACTAGTATTTTATTTAAAGGGGCTCTGATTAACTTTATAGTCTTCAATATTTCAAATAGCTACATGAGAAATGCTTGTGCATTTGGAATCTTTTTAATTTCTCCCAGAATGCAAGCTATACAGATGTTTTGACACAGAAGTTGTGTATTCTCAACATAATGACAGCCATCAAATGGTACTCGGTTACTAATTTATTCCACAGACAGGACTTTAACTTACATAATTAGTGTTCTTGATATTCATTTTCCGTCCCTAGAAGAGTTGGAAATACAAATTGGTAGCATGAAATTCAGAGACACAAAATTGAAAGTCAGCAATCTCATGAGAATGTCTTTTTTCATCATTGACTCTTTCATGGAGGATATGGCTTAGATAAAAAAATATATATCTTGGAAAAATAGAACATTGGGAATTATAAAAAACATCAAGATAGAATTATTGTTAAAAATGTAATGGAGGATAAAATTTAAAGGAGAAAATCTGAAAAAGAGACATGGAAATTGACTAAAGAATACACTAACAGGTTTTCCTCTCAATGAAAATATAAATATAGAGGAAACATTTTGAATTTAAATTAAAAGGAACTATGTTATACATGAGAAATTTTGTCCCATAGTCCCCTACTATATTTTAGACAACCACATTCATTTCACAGCTTTGTCTGATAATATTTCCATGCTCAGTCACTGGCTGGGCACCCATCTCTGTAGAATCACAAATGTCTCGGTCTCTTACCTGGACTCTGGCTTGGGAGAAATCCTGTCCCTTCTCCCATCCACAGGATTTTTCCTTCCTCCAGATACAAAGTCACATCTGATTTGCAGAGCAGATACCCTATGCATGGTAAGAAAAAAAAAGCCATTGGATTTTAGCATTTCTGCCAAGAAATGTGCATTAGTGAGAAGGCCATGAAGATGACTTAACAACAATAGAGAACCAAGGCACTGGTAGAAACTATTTAGCAGAGAAAATATTGAAGTTCCCTCACTGCAGTCGAATAAAAGATAGAATGCTCCCATACCAGGGAGGACTGAAGGACACACATGCTCACAATGACATTCAAAGAATGCCAAATCAGCAGTTTTTCAGGTACTTCATCTCTCCACTAAATATTACTTTCAAATGGAATGCAAATAATCACACAAAAATGTTCAGAATTCTCTTGTTTTGGTATTCAATCCTCCTGCACAGTGACAATATAAGTATAATTATTTATAAATATTGGGTCTATGTATAATTTAATTTTAATGAATACATAACATTATGGTGTGGACCATATTGTAGTGTGGAGTAAAATAAGTTGTAATTAAAGTAATAAATAAAAGCAGCTTTCTTGCATGTAATTATAAGTTCTATGAGAAAATCAGGATGAAGATTGGAAATGAATAGAGAGGCTATTCCAGATACTGTTATTGAAGAAATAGGTATACTTTCACATATTTCATATATATCATTGATGGACTTACCAACTGATACTAGATGATTAATGATTTCCAGCATCACTGACCGGTGTAGCATTTTCTGAGATGGGTCCAGCATGGCCCACACTTCTTGGGTGAAACTTATGCTTACATCTTCAATGGACATCAATTCCTAGAATGGAATTGACAAGCTAGATTAGAAAGAGCAAGGAGATCAATTTCACAAAAGAAGGGTTGAGAGGACAGCATGAGGCATAGGGGAAACTAGGTTTGCAGGGAGATCAAACTGTTAAAGGCTCCAGCCTATTCATTTTCAGCTCCCAACCTGCTTACTTTCAGAAAACCAGAATGTACATGCATTGATTGAATTCATAGAATTTATAGTAAAGGAATATGGAATGATAGAGGGTCATGAAACATGAAAAACATTTTAAGGACTGGTAAGAATAACTTTCAATCATGCTATTATAAAATTTTCACTTGAACATTTTCAACTAAAATTTAAATCCCCACTTATTTAAGTAACTTTCCAGAATTATCACCAGGCCAACCTTAACATTAATTTGTCATCTTGAAAATTGACTATGTATAAAATAGTCATTTTCTCAAAGAGGTATCTTATATCCCTCATCAGTAAAATATTTAGTAATGTGAGTGTTTAAAAGGCCAATGAATTTCTTTATATCTTCAAAACATGTTTAAACTATAACCCTATAAGCAGAATAATGCAGACATTCTTGAACCAATCTCCAGAATTTTTGAGAACTGAACAAATTGCATATAACTTGGTGTCAGTAGGAAGAGTCACTCTTCTCACAATGTGACCAAGGAGGTCAGAATAAGGTTAAGGACAGACATTTGAGCAGCACAAGGCACAGTCTCTGAGACGTACTCTGAGGCAGAGTCCCAGCAACCATCCCTATACTACAACTCTCATCCTCAATTCTCTCTTGAGCTCCAAACACTACTTTTCAATGTCTCTCTGATATCTTGATCTCATTTCTCTGTTCCTTTATTAGTTTTCATGTATCCAGTTCTTCAAAAAATTTGCTCTGTCTACTATATGAATTAATAGTATATTTTAATGACAAACATCAATTAGGTTAATATAAGTTGGCGTAAACAACTTCCAGTAGAAAATATGAAGGAATATTTTATTAGTAAGTTGTAACAAAATTTTAAATAAAAATGATCATGATTAATTTAGGGTTTTTTTAGGGGGGTTATCAAAAGTTGAAATTTATTCCATAAAACTCTAAGTTTAAAATTGCAAAAAAACCCATTATTTCTCATGCCTTCTCTAGCCTAGGTCTTTTATTTTTTTCTCAGTATTACTTGAATGCCTGTGGCACTGTGTCAACAGAATTCATGTGCTAGAATATCTGCCTCCATGTTTGGCTGTGAGGTTCTACTCCTCACTCATTTCCCTCACCTGAATTCACCAAAATCCAAACATCATTGCAATAAGTAACATCATTAATCAGTAATTATTTCAAATGGAGTCATAGGCAAAATGTGAGATTCAATATGTCCCATTCCTTCTGGAAGTACACAGCCAGGAATGGTACCATGGTATAGTGGTGTCCTAACAGGAAGGACATCAGTTGCCTGCTGATGAGTTCCTGACCCATGGTGACAACTGCAGAGTTGTGGGGTACAGGACTAACTCCTGCTTGCACTGAAGACTTGGCATCTCTGTCAATAGGGGGAAAATTTCAATAGAAAAGCCATTCACTGCTCAACCACTAATGGATTCATAGTCATGGTTTTGCTTTCTGCAATCTTCCTCTTCACTCACACACAGTCCAAACAATTTTCAGAAAATACTGTGGATAAAGAAGAAAAATCATGATATTCAACATATTTAGAAGACATCCTGACTCCTCTCTCATGAAATCCTAGACATTCTTTTGTCTAAAATGCAGTGCTAACACAAGGAAAATTCAGATTGCCCAAATGTTATGGGTGCAGTACTCGGTTCATATTCCAAAACCAAAATTCAAAAGAATGTGAACATGATCGCTAACAAAAATGAAGAAATTAAACCTCCATATATGCATTTACATATAAATGGAAAACCTTGATTTTCACATGTGAATTGCCCAATAAAGGGTCCAGAGTTATAAAATGCTCTTAGATTTTGAAGAAATATCACTTTTTTAACCAACATGCAGACTTTGGTTTCCACCTCTAGGGAAACATTGTGGAATTTCTCAGATTTCACTGATTTTGCTCTATTTGTTAGCAGTGGTTCTCTAAGTTAAATTGTGTCCCCTTGGAGTCTCACTCCCTGCCAACCCTCCCTCACCCATGAGGTAGATCTATCGTTCCTGGATTTAGGAGCAATCAAGTCAGGATCTCTATTATGAAAGCATGAATCAACTCAAGTGGATTTCCATTTTGAGGAATCAATGGCATCATCCTGCCAATCCAGCCCTTATAGTTGCATTTATCCAAATCAGCTTAAGTACTGGGGTCCTAGTGGGAGTGTCAGGGATGGTCACATTAATTAATATTAAGGATGTTCAGAAATGATGCTCATAGATGATGACTGGGATCAGGATGAAATCTATTTGATTAGTCTGGTCATTTGCTAATGTGCTGGTTGAAACTTTTGAAATCCTGTTCAATATCCATCCATCATCAGTTGTGATATCAGTTTTTAATTATAGATACATACATATGAGACAGATATTTAAAATTGTAGTGTATCCATCATCATAACATAAATTTTGTGGAGTAATTATGACTTTTACTACTATCCATCAACATATCATAAATTTTGTGGAGGAATTACAATTTTTTATTATGAAGACTAAAATTCACTCATGTTATTGTGCCTCCACTGAAAAAAGAGAAAAATCCAGGAGCATGATGCACACCTGAAAGACCAGCCACCCAGGAGGCTGAGGCAGGAAGACCAAAGTTCAATGCCATCCTCAGAAACAGCCAGGCTCTAAACTACTAAGTGAGATTCTGTCTCAAAATACAAAAAGCAAGCAAACAAACAAACAAACCACAAAATAGGCTGGGGATGGGGATGGGACTCAGGGGTTAAGCATCCCTGTGCTCAATCCCTGCTCTCAAAATATGAAAAATAAGAAATAGAGTGCTGGGAATGTAGCTCCATGACATGATTTCCCTGAGATTTATCCCAATGAAAAACAAAGAAACAAAACAAAGAAACACAAAGCAAAACAAAAAAAAGCACCAATAATTTACTAAATATGATTACAAATTTTCAAATATTGGGTTTTTATCATAACCCTGTTGATTAAAGGGCAATTCATCATTTAAAAAATGACCTAAACAAAGATTTACATGGTCTTCCTTAGATGATAAATTCATCCAACTGGATAAATTTATCCAACTGAAAAAACGCAACACTTTTCCCTTTCTTTCCCTTTGGCTGAGCACAATGTCTTTGAACACACCAACACAACCTCTAAGCTGAACTGCGATAGTGCCTCTGCTGTTAAAGAGCACAAGCCCTACCTGTCAGGGCACGGCCTTCCTTCTCATTTATCAAGCTCACTCTCCTTTCCCAGACCCAACCATTCAGGATCCTCCAGTGCACTGACCCCACCACCCAAACCCCATCCTCTTTTTCTTATCACTGCTCAACTTGTTATGTTCTTACTCATTTCAACACACACTCATCAAGCTCATGTGGTCTTTGCTACACCATTTCCCACATTTGTCCTCCAGCCCCTGTAGCAGGGGAATGCTTGTATGTGTCTCTTCTTCTACTGCATCTGAGAACCCTTGACTGGGTGTCCATCCATGACTAAACTCAGAATCAACTCCTGCTGGCTTTCAAAGTATTTAGAATCTGATTTTTTTTTCTAAATAAGCCATAATTTTATAATCCACAAAATTTTTCTTCTCAAAATTGTTGAAAATCACTTTCTAATTTCATCCATATTTTCAAAAGATTAGTATGCCTTCTGCTAAGATTATTGTGTTAGTTCACCAAGTTTGAAAGGGCTTTCATAAGAGTTTCATAACTTTCATAACAGTAAGACAGAGACAGAGTGGCTTTAAAAACAAACTGATTTTCTCATGATTCTGGAGGCTAGGATTGTGATATCAACATGTCTGCAGGGCCTGTTTCTTCTGAGACCACTGTTCCTGCCTTGTACAGGCTGGCCACCCTGTGTCTCTACATAGTCTTGCTGCTCCCAACCCTTCCCCAAACTCCTTCTGTTGTGAGGGTACTGATCATATTGCAATGGTAAATGCACACAATTATCTTGATTGAATTTGCCTCTTTTCACACCATATATCCAAATACAGTTAACTTTCAGAAAAAAACAACCTAGCTATAGAGCAGTTTTGAAGAAACTAACAATTGGTTTAGTGATTCTTAATTAGTCACTCATGTAGGCAAAGTTTCACTGATCCACATGACATAGCAGGAGTAGTGACACATCACTGTGATGTCAACAAGGGTATTGGTACAACTTGTCATCTCCCTTCAGGTCCCTTAGGAAGACATCAGGGAGGAGTCTCTCTTTATCCTCACTATCAAGGTAGGGTTTGAGGCATTCCTCACCACTGAGATGCAGGCTTGGGAATTCCCGGTCCTCCCAGCATGTTTCAACATGAACTTGGTTCCTGGTTGCAGAAGAATTAAGTAATTGTACTATGGTGACACAGGCATACCCATGTTTATGGCAGCACAATTCACAATAGCTAAACTATGGAACCAGCCTTGGTGTCCATCAACAGATGACTGCACAAAGAAAATGTGGTATCTTTACACAGGGGGGTTTTAGTTAGAAAGAAAAATGAAACTCTGTCATTTGCAGGAAAACGGATGGAACTAGACACAAGTATGTTAAGGGAAATAAGTCAAACTCAGGAAGTTAAATGTCCTGTGTTTTCTCTCATAGGCAGAAGCTAGAGAGGAAAATAAGAGTGGGTGTGGATGTCCCAAGAATGACAGGAGATCAGTAGAGGAAAGGAGCAAGGGGTGGGAGGGAGGCAGCAGGGGCCTAAGAAAATGCTGGGGAGTGATATTGGCCACTCTATGTTGTATACTGTGTGCATGTACAAATACGGAGCAACAAATCCCATCATCGTGTACAAATATAATGCAACTCTAAAAAATGTAGAGAAAACTAAAAAGAAGTCAGGACAGGACATAATAGCAAGAAACAAAAGAGAAAACTTACATAAACAAAATAAAAACCCAAAGGAATGCATTGAGTGATTAAAAAACTCAGCTACATCCTACCTTCCCTCAGTCACCACCCAGTTAATCCCTTTAAGGCTTTAAATCACTGATTAGGTGAAAGTTATCATAATCCAATCTCTCACCTCTAACTTTCAAGCATTGTCTCTCATGCAAGCCTTCTGAACCTCATATCTAAACCATGACCCCATGACCTCATAATTCTCAGTGTTCGGGATGGGATAAATCCTCTATCCAATGCAGGGGATATGCCTCTTGTCAATGCCAGACATAGTGAATTGTTCTTCTCAATGCCGGACATAGTGAATTGTTCTTCCCTAGTGCCTTTTATATTCTAGCAATGTCAGGGATAAAAGCAGAGACCAAATCTATAGTACATGAGAACAGATTTAAACACACAGTACACAAGAAATCAATAGGAACCGATGTCAATGATATTAATGGAGAATCCAACTTGACATAATTGGATTACAACAAAAACCCAGCTTTGCAAGATTTTCATAGTTCAGTTCATCCATAAGAATGCAGCTAGAAAAAAAGAAACATCTACCACTTGAATCAGAAGAGCCTTTTGTATTTGATATTTCGTACTGGGGATTGAACCCAACAGACTCTTACTGCTGAGCCACAAACCTAGTAATTTTTGTAGTTTTCTTTTGAGTCAGAGTCTCACTAAGTTACTGAAGACCCTGGTACATTTCTCAGGATTTTTTTTTTTTTTTTTTTTTTTGCAATTCTCCTTTCTCAACATTGCAAATGACAAGGATTACAGATATATGAATTCATTTCCATTTGAATGATGAGTCATTTAAATTTATAATCACTAGTTATTGGTTGTTCATAGTAGCAAGATACAAAATTATGGAAGAGGAAATTTAGATTATAACCTAGATTCAAGACATATGGAAATGGTTTCCTAATAATCAGAGTAAGAATGGAGAAGTCCCTGTTGAAACAATACAATTTAGAGACCATACATGCTGCTGTGATTGCACAAATTCCATGAGAGAGAGGGTTTATCTCACTGTGATCAAGGAGGCTCCCATCCCATTGTCTGGAGAACTCACCAGGAAATAAGAGTTGGAGGGGAAGACAGCCAGTAGGGTTCCTCATGTGAGCAGGGACTTGCTCTTCTCCCAGAATGTGGACCCTTCAGTGCCCCTTCTCTGAGAACAGGCAACCTCTGCTTGACTTCCTTTTTTATATGGATAATCAATTACTAAATCTAATCAGGGCCACATTCCAGGGACATACCCTGGCTTCACAGACACTGATCCTATCCTATCTTCAGCTGGGAACACACCCTCTCAGGCTGATTGGATATCCCAGACTACATTAAATCTGTTTCCTCACACCTACTTTGAGATCAATGAGGGAAGGCTACTCCTGAGGGGGAATTTGCAAGATAACTTGGGTCTTCATTCACTTATAAATAGCCCTGGGTCCATCCTGTGCATGGGAAGCATTCTAATGATAGGAATCTGGCCAGAAATCTGGCAGATATGTGTCCCATGGGCAAAAGGCACAATTGCCTGGCAGAATAGTGGATTTTAAAACATAATGAAAGGTGAGTAGAAACGTTTTCCAGAAGAAAATGGTTTAACAAAAAAATTGTTATTGTGATGGAGAGAGCCATGTCAGGGCATGGACTAAATTATATTTCCAAGAAGATATCGATAATTTGTTGCAAGGGTCTTCTGAAAATGGCCAGTAGGGGAACCCAGTGCACAGCCACTGCTGTCCAAGGCTGAATGGGAAGCACAGATTTGCAGAGATTGAGAAACTACTGTGATTCCATTTTTGAAAACCCAGCTTCTACCTCAAGGCCTGTCCAAAGGGAATGGGTGGAAACCTTTGTCCTTGGAAAAACCAACAGAGCACTCCTAGGCACCTAGCCACTCTGCTGAGTTGTTTGTCTGCTAATAACAGGAGAGATCTGTGATGCCAGGTGTCCCTGACTCAGTTAGGCTAGGTGAGATAGCAACCCCCTAGCAACCACCAATCAGCATGAGACAGGGAAAATACCTGGGATGCCAGATACCCCCAGTAGTCTCAGTGGTTGATAACATGTTAGGAAACCATGTAGTTTAGCATGTACACCCCTGAAGGCTTAAACCAATCAGTTCAAATATATCCACTTCTTGAACTCACCCATCACACCTACCCAACTTCTTCCCTCCAGTGAATATGCTAATCAATGCTAAGAGTTGTTGTTTGATTTTCCCATGGTGTGAAATGATTTGCTGAGTGATGTTGTGACACATAGAGTATCCCCCCAAAACCTATAAAATCTCACTGAACAAAGGACCAGAACTCACTCTTCAGGACCCCTGTGTCAGAAATGGTTGTGAGTCCAGGCTCGAGCTTGCAATAAGGACTCTTGTATGATTAAATTGGATTTGGATCCTGGAGGTCTATTGGGGTCCCATGAATCTGGCACTACATATTGGGGTCCCACAAATCTGACATTATAAGATGAGATGAGGTAGAAAGAGCAGGGAAGTTCTGGAGGGTGTCTCCCAGGGTTTGAGGCCAGAAGAAGCAGATTGTCAGTTCTTAGAATAAAAGGTGAATGTATAAAATGAGCAGACTGTGGGGACAAGTAGTGGCAAGGGTGAAAGGTGAAGAGGAAGCAGGCTGTGTTGTCCAGCAATTTCACAATCTGAGCCAGAAAACCACTCTGATAATGAGAAGGAATTAGTATGGGAGAGAAATTGGCTTTTCCCTGCAATGTAGAGAATGTGGGAGTCTTGCCAGCTTACAGACTCTCTGTGTCCACTTGCTGCCCAAGAAATTAGAAATCCTTGCAGTTTTCTTTGGTTTTTGTTTTGTTTGGTTTTTTCTTTTATTATTTTTTGTCTTGGTGAAGCCAGAATTAGACAGGCAGTCAGCATAGATAGGCAAATCAAATCAGGTCAGATCAAGAGGCCAATTTTGAGTGAGTCTGGAAGTTGGACACTGTCCCCTGAGAGATCAAAATGTTAATTCCTTTAGGGAGCTTTCTCCACACTCAGGGAGAACCTACCCCAGCTCCAACCTGTTGCTAAGGTGACCTGTCCCAGGAATCGCCCCTCCCTGTAGTGAGCTATAAGGTTGTTAATGAATGTGCCCTGAGCTGCTCCACCCTGCCCTTTGCCCTTCAGCCCATCTTTTTCCCACCTTTTGACCATCCTGCTGAGCATTTCCTAGGCCTAGTCCTATAAGCAGGAAGGAGGAAGATAAGAAGAGGGCAGGAGAACAAAGGAAGGCTAGGACATATAAAAGGGCAGGACACCTCACTCTTGGGATACCAGGATAGCAGCTATGGCACCCTTCTCCCTCCCAGGAGAAGTCTGTTACCCATTTTTAAATAAACCCTGCTTTATATGCTTGCCTCAGCATGCTTCTCTAATGCTACACTTCAACATGTGAGGGAGCAGAACTTGTAATGAGGTATCATTGGGGTTGGTTTTGTTTGTGTACCCAAGGTGGAGTGGCCATGTGTCTGCTATTTTCACTGACTTTGGTGCCCAAGTCTTGAGTCCACCTGGACACAGGAGTGGGAATGTGCCAAAGTTTTAGCAGGAGCTTTGGGTAGTGACAGAAAGTTTGGCTTCTAGGCTGTAGGTCTGCATAGTGGAGACAACCAAAAGGGTACTTCTATTTCAAAAAGGGGATCTGAACTCTCAGATAAGGATCAAAGCCACTGGGACATAGAACTGTGTATAGCTTGGGTGTGGAAAGGTGCTAC